AATCGGCTTCGTCCTCCCTCCCTCCCTCCCTCCCTTCCTTGCCCAACACATCATCTCCGTTGCCTGTATGTTCGCGATGCGGCCAAAGGCCTGGTGGATGCGAAAAGCTGCGATCGCGCGACAAAGACAGCAGCAACAGCAGCAGCAGCAGCGGCAGCAGCGGCAACATCGGCAGGAGTATCCGCCGAGCGGTGGCGAAAGTGTCATCAGCAGCGGCGGCGACGGCGGCGGCGGCGACGGCGGCAGGTCCATCGCCGCCGCCGCCGCCGCCGCCACCGCCGCGCCATCCCGCCGCCGCAGGGACACGCGCGCCGTGACGCTGGGCGCCGGCGTGGACGCGAGCGCGGCCATGGCGGCACAACTGCGGATCCTGACGCAGCAGCAACAACAGCTGATGACGATTATGCAGCAACAGCAGCAACAGCATCCTCATCATCAACAGCAGGAGCGGCCATGGATAAAGTCCCATGGGTAAGTCCCCGCGTGCGTGGTTGAGAGTGTGAGTGTATGAGTGTGTGTATGTATATATGTATGCGTGTGTAAGTATATATATGTGCATGTGAGTATATATATGTATGTGTATGTGTATGTGTGTACCGGTATACGTGTCAGCAGCACCCTGGAACGAGCTGCAGGGCCTCCGACGGGACCGTTGGCCCCTGCTAACGTTTCTTGCTACCGTATACCGTATATTATGGTGTTCGTTCACCGGTATCCGTTTGTTCGTTAGTCTGTGTCGTGGCGCCCTGGCTAAACCGGCCCAACCCATCCCGCCCCGGCCTCCCTTGCTTACCCACACCCATCGCAATCCCCAATCGCAGCGCCAGCATCAGCGGCAGCGCGCTCAGCGGCAGCAGCCGAAGCTTCGTCAACCCGCTGGCTCTGGAGCATCCGCAGTTCCTGGAGGCTCCGGGCACAATGTACGGAATGCCACAGTTGGCGGGTAACCACAACAGCACTAGCAGGAGGTACGACAGGTACGACAGTCGCGTGATGGGAGGCCGTGAGCGCACCCAGAGGCTGCTGCTGCCGCTGGGCGCCTTCAACGTCCCGCCGCCGACACTGATTCCGACGCTGCGGTACGACATGTACGATGAGATTGGCGGTGGCGGCGGCGCTGCCGCCGGTTGGGAACAGTACGGATGGAATGGCGATGCGCGAGTGCCCATCAGCGGTGGCGGCGGCGGCGGCGGCGGCCGCAGCGGCGGCGTCCGTGGCAGTCGCAGCGAGTCACTGCCCGCCTGGCACCGACCTGGGCGGGCGGGACCCGTCCACACCGCACGCGACCGTCGAGGGCTGCGCCTGGATTCAGCACCAGCCGCCGCAGCGTTTCTGGAGCGACCGCCTCCTGGCTGGGACGAGCGACCGTCTCCTGGCCGGGACGAGCGACCGCCTCCTGGCCGGGACGAGCGATCGCGTTTCGGCAGCATCAGCCGCGCCGTCGGCGGCAATGGCGTCGGCGACAGTGCCTACGGTGGCCGCGACGGCGGCGGCGGCGGAGGCCGTGGCCGCAGTCGCGCCAGCGCAGCTTATGGCATTGGGTACAGCGGACTGCCGTACGATCGCGACACCCCAGGCCGCCTTGCGGCGCCGCCAGCGGTGGTGGCGGCGCCGCCGCCGTCACCTTTGGGGCCACCTCTGCCGTCGGTACGGCGAGGCACCAGCTTCCGTACCGCTGCCTTGCTCCAACACCGTTGAGGCTGGCGGGCGGTGGCAGCCGCGGTGGCGATGCAGTTGCGAGTTATACGAGCTTTTGGGAACGAGTGTTGGGGAGCACTGCAACGAGAGTGCCCGGCACGTTTTTCGACTGGGACCTGTTTGGACGGAACCGCCAGGGACACGCTTTCATCCGAGATTGGCTGTATATAAAGTCCTTCTAAGGCAGGGTACCTGTATATGTGTGACTGACTTGAGATGTGATTTCGAGTTGCTTTGAGAACGGTTTGGTTCCTTACGGGATGCGAAGGGAGGGGGGCTGGGGAGGGGGAGGGGTTAGAAAGTGAGCCGCCTCCCTTACCTCTGGCTAAAGCCTCACATTTGTGCCTTTGTTTCGGCAAGACATAACCTTGATGCTGTTGCAACAAAGCACTGATGAAGTTGGCTTGCGCCGCTGTCCCCGGACACCAAAGCGAAGCCTTACCAAGGTACGGCGACGGGACGGCATCGCAATCCGCAAATTTTGTGTCGGAACGCTGCGCTTACTTACAAGACATAATTTCGATGTTTCATTATGTGCCTGGATTTCTTGTTTATCGTTTTTTGAATCCGCCCGGAATGCTGAGACACTTGCTTGGAGGTGCGTGCCCGGAATATGTTGCTGGGACACTTCTTCGGCTTTTCCTTGCCGACAGGTCATCGTTCTACTTCTCGTGACAACGGTGCTGTCTTAATTTGAGGCGCTTACGCTGAGGCAAAGGGTTTGATTTCGGAAATTGGCATCTCAGCCGACGCAGACGTGGCGTGGCGTGCAGTGCACGGCGGAGTACCAAGCGCACGGTTATGATATTGCTGTGCTGCATTTGCAAGGAGCATTCTGGGACAATTATGCGAAATGACAAATCTGTCGTTGACGGAGTGCGGAGCTGCGTCAGAACGTTCGTCGTGAGGTCATCATGGGCTGTCAGTTCGGAAATATAAATGCCTGGGGTCGACTTGTCAGATTTATGTCCCGACGGAAAGAACTCGCAGGCATTTGCGCGCGAAAGTCCGTGTCACGATTCTCGTCTCAGCGCCTTCGGGTCACAGCTACGCTTCGTGGCGGCGCGCGCGGACCTGGACGTGGCCGTGCTCCGCGGCCGCCACGGCCCTTGCATGTGGCTGCTGCAGCGGACACTGCTGCCGGGCGAGTGGCTGGGCGTGGCGTCGTTTCCCCTGGCTGTCGACCAGGAGCTGGCGGCCAATGACGCCAGCCCGCCGCCGGGTGGGGCAGGCGGGACAGCAGCAGGCCCAGCGGCCCCAGTCGTGACCACGGCAGCCGAGGTGCCGATGGTGAACACAGGCGTGCTCTCCAAGAACAGCGCCACTGGGCTGCGCGGCATTGCATCCATTAACACAGGTACGTGAGTGGGTGTTGGCACGTTTGCGGTGCATCCATTAGCACAGGTACCTTACGGAGGTAGGTGGTAGCATGTGACGATCAACGGTCAGGTGCCATGTTATTGTGATTGCGTGTCCACTGTTCTCTAGCTTCAGCCTTGACACACTACCTTTTGACCTTGATCCGCCCACGTGCCTGCCTGCCTGCCTGCCTGCCGGCCGCCTGCCTGCACCCATGTTCCCTCCAGGAATGCCCAACAGCTCCGGCGGTGTGGTGCTCAGCGGCAGCGGCAGTGGCGGCGACACACTGCTGCTGGCTGGCATCTACACCGGCACTGTGTATCACTTGGATGATGCCAGCAGCCACCCCAGCACCGACTGCAGCGGTGGCAGCAGCACCAGCACTAGTGCTAGCGGCAGAAGCAGCGGCAGCAGCAACACGTCGCCGGCCCACATCGAACGAGACCCCAAGGTACTGTGGACGCCAGGCGCTGACGCCCTGGTGGCAGACACAGTCGCTGCTGCGGAAAGTGGACCGGGCCGCCTTCTCAGCAGCCATCTGCTCCGGGTCTGGCCGGGCCACGCACACCTGCAGCTGCCACAGCGCGGGCGACGTCGTGAAGATAGACACACTGCTCTTGTGTGCGATGTTGAGGCGGCTGAGCTCCGCCGACTTCACGACGTCCCCAGCCGCGGCAGCGACTGCATCTGCCGCCAGGGTGTCAGTGCCTGGCGTCCACAGCACCTTGGGATCTCGTTCGATGTGGGCCGGCGACGTGTTGCTGCTGCCGCTGCTTCTGCCGCTAGCACTAGTTCTGGTGCTGCTGCCACCGCTGCAGTCGGTGCTGGGGTGGCTGCTGGCATCATCCAAGTGATACACAGTGCCGGTGTAGATGCCAGCCAGCAGCAGCGTGTGCCGAACGAACGTTCTGACACAGCTCCACACTCCACCAACTACAGAAGGTCATTTCGCAAATCATGGTTCAAGAGCTCTTGTAACGCAACACATTAACAACTGTGTGCCTGGTACTCCATGCATTGCCACCACATCACATCTGCGGCGGTTGAGATGCCAATTTTCGAAATCAAACCCTTTGCCTCAGCCGTCGAAAGGTGCACGGTGTCGATATCGAAGTCGAAGGGGGGTGAAGCGTCGAAGCGAAAGGGCGTGGACAAGCACGTAAATTGTTTTGTACCGTCGTTGCGTGCGATCATCGCGCATTATTTGGCAGAATGTGCAATAACGCGCAGAAATAAATAATTGCCCCGGGGCCTGCGCGTTATTTCAAAAAACCCCTCGCAGCCCCTCCTCCTTCCTAATTCCGTCGTACACGCGTTTCTGGGGGCCTGAACGAGGGAAATGGGGTCGCTCCGCTCTTTTCATAGACAAACAGAGCTTCGTGGCTATCGTAGATGAGTGTGGGAGTCTCTTCACGCTTGGTATAGCTCCTAGCCAGCCTGCAAGGGATGCGTGCGCGATGTGAAAAAACAATTCCTTACAGTGTTGCGCGTTAAAATTTCAGCTGCGCGATGATCAGACACAGCTACGGTATAGTGTGCAATCATTAATCCCGCTCCAGCAGACCGCATCCGTGCCCCACACACGTCCCCACTTGACCCGCGATGTCGCCTCCCTGCCTAACAGTACCTGCGCTCCATCATGTAAACATGACCTATATGCAAAGCCAGCCCAACATCACTCATCATTGCAGGACCTCCTGCACCACAGCAGCACACAGACTGCAAAGCGCATAGCCTCGCCATTATTGTCGGCTCACACAGCTTCATGACCTGCTGTGTATACCACCGAACGCGCGGCATACCAGCCATCACAATTCACAAATACATCTTTCAATTTGCGAAAAACGAGCCTTTCCGTGCAGGCATCCTTTCCGAAGACAATATCCTTTTGCTATATTGTAAGCAGTTATATTTTTGTCATCCGAGATGTAAAACTCAATACGCGTCCCGTATGGGATTCGAACCCATGATCCCTGGATATCTGCTCAATAGAAGTCCAGTGCGTTAATCCACTACGCCAACGGGACATGCATGTGTTTGGACAAAATTGGGACAAGATTGGAACAAAATGGATTATAAATTTCCCTATTCCCCCCCACCGGGAGGTATCGCAAGCGATACCAGAGCCCCGGTACCGTAGCCCCAGAACGACTGAGGGTACAGTTTGCACGTGTGACACCCAATGAGTGCCAACCTCGGACACAAACAAGCCATTACTGGGACAATTAAGTCAGGTTATGAAGGCTGCAGCCCCATCAGTAGCTTACAACTCGGAAAAGGTGCATGGAAGCAGGTACGTGCACCCTGCCGACAAGCCCGGCCTCCCTGCACACACACACACACTTCCAAAAGTTCCTCACCGGGAAGACCCCCCCTGGAGGCCCACACACATAGCGTATATAGTTTTCCCCACTTACTCCATGTACATCTGCAACCGTACAGTGTCCCGTACAGTGTACACAACTAACATTTTTGAGTCAAGCCCTGCTATTTACCGCCCCCATATCCCTCCCCCCCACGTTCCCCACCTCCACATCCACGACGAGCCGCTTCCATTTCCGCTGCTGCATGAACTGAATGACAGCGGGATTTGCATGACATCCCTTCATACGATCAATATCTACCGTCTGACCCTTGAGGATGAGATGCATGGCACTGCACACCCGCGACAACGCCGTGTATAAGTGCCCAAACTCCCAAAATGCACCACGACCAAATGTAACCATCACACGATCAAGCGTGAGGCTCTGCACGCGATGCACCGTCATTGCGTAAGCGGGCAACAACGGCAACTACAAGCGTGAGGACAGCAAAGCCCCCGAAATCGTCTCCAAACAAAACATGACTGGCTTGCAAACCATGCGTATTTCGGCCCCATTGACCGTAAACACGACACGGGGCCAAGACGTGCGTGCATTAACCTTTTGCAATGCCTCCTTAAATTCCCCTCGGGGCATGTCCTTCCACCGCTCGTCCACCTCCTTCCAGTACAGCCCATCCTCTCCAATGTCCGTGACGAAGGCCTCCACGATCCCCCGTGAACCGGTCGGCACACCTTCCCCATTGGGCTTGGTTGCTACCACCCGGGTGTTCACCTTACGAGGCCCTAAGGCAGCATCCCGCCTGTGCGGGCGTTGACCATCCAAGTCCGGTGAACCCAACTCCCCATCAACATCCCAATCCCCTTCCTCCGCATCCCCTCCCACACCGCCGCCATTCAGTGCGGCATTCCTCCCCTGCCGACCCTGGCCGCTACCTTGTGCAGCCGTGAACGCCTGCCGACGGTTACGGTAGGGTGAGGAGCCTCAGCATCGTCCTCCGGTGCACACTGAATGCCAGGCTTACCAATATATAGAAATGTTGTCCACCCCCGCATATATACACAAACGCCTCCCCCTCGCTCCAAATCCCCAACTATTTCCGTGTTTCGGTTCCACGCGGTCTTCCGATTTCCAGCAGTAAGCATGGTGGAATCCTGCAAGTCAGGATCAGTGTCAACATCACCTACCGGTACACGGTCCAGCAGGGTGTAAAAACGACCGTGCAACACGTCCTTCAGGTCCCGTCAAGGCTTCTCCCCCTGTCGACGCACTGCAAGCTCTTGTAGCGCAGTGAAGAAATAAAGCCCTGCCTGTCGTGAACATGCCGACCCTAAGGCTGAAGTCCGGCATCAGCAAAGACACCCACTGCTAGCTGCAGCTTCCATGCCTCACTTTCCCAAATACGTGGCGCTGGCTCCTTCAGGAAGGGCCCAACCCGCTCATCACACGGACCAAGCTGAAACCCGTTGGCGTAGTGCAGTGGAGAACGCACTGGACTTCTATTGAGTAGGCATCCAGGGATCATGGATTCGAATACCATACGGGGCGTGTGTTGCTACAGTATTGTGTGGGGGCGAAGGTGACACCAATGCGGGACGCTTGTTTGGTCCTGCTCCGACCGGTCATCAGGGCGTGGCTCGGTCGTGTCAGGAAGGACTCTACATGTCTCTACCCTGAGACACCCCCAACGTGCACACAGCCAGATATATAGGCAGGAATGCTTGCTTACTTGGACCACTCTTTCGCCTACAAGAGCAGCAAGGGTCACAAACGCAGCCGTGGAGCATATCTTGTACCGTAGTATAACATTGTTGTGAATGTCCTCTTGTCTCGATGTACGACGCATCTGTGTGCCTAACTGCTTGGAACACACGCACGGAAACGCCCGTGTGGCTGCGGCGTTCATTGCATCAGCCTAACTCTCACAGGAGGAGCAAGCCGACATGAGAACACCACTGGGCCCGAAATCCCCGCTTGGGGCCTGTGCATTGGTCGACATCACCTTCCCTTACTTCTAGTTATCATCGACGCAAATGGCGCCAAATAACCGTTAGCCAACCGCTACCAAACGCGCAAAACGAGACAGTAGAGAGGGCGCAGCCTCCAATCAATCAAGGGGCGTGCATGCGCCGGGATCCGAAACCTTCCAGGTACGACAGGTGCGCCGGCGCACTCCACCGTCTCAACCAAAAGCTCCCTCACCCTGAAGACCCGCGCACGCAGGCGATCGCGGCGGGGGCAAAAATCCATATTTCATCTCGGCCAACACACTAAATAGATTCCAAAAGGTTTCTCCGTGTTTCTGTCGTGCTCTGGTCCGTCTGGCTGTGAAGTCCGCACCGAGGGCCCCATCCACGCAATCAGGCAGCACGGCGCAGAGAACGAGTCCAGCGAAAGGGCCTGTCATCACCCTCGAGGTAGTTAAATTCGGTTGGAAAACAATGGAAAACTCCTCAGGACTGCAACGAGGCGCTGCGACCACCTGCACATGTGAACATGTGAGTGTGCACGATTATAATCTACCATATAATCTACCATCTCCAGGCAGGCCCCTTGCTGGGCCGCTCACTTTCTCCCGGGGTCACTGGACGAGGCTGGACGGAAGCCGGCTCCCTAAGAGCCCCCACACTCCTGCATCCGACCCGCCTGCCCGCCTGCCCAACCATCATGGCGGTTCAGTGCGAGCTGCACGGCAGTGCACAATCCGTCACTCACGATCCGTCCCTTGCCAGACAACGCACGCGACGCGACTCAATGTACCGGTACACGGGCGGCGTGGCACCGCCGACTGTCTCACTGCCCCGAATCACCGACACCGACCCCATCACCCACCAGGCCTTCCGAGCCGGCACGCGGGAAGGCAGTTGACCGTCGACCATCAACCCGCGCAGGTGCCCACAGTCCACACAAGCCGCATGCGGCACAGTTCACAAAAACACGGTACACACACTCACACCCTTCCTAGACGCATGGCGCCCTAGATGCGCCGGCGGCATCTTTTCTCATTTTGTAGAACGCCAACCACAAGGGTGTGTATGTGTATATACTTGCTGGTGGCTACGAAACGCTATTCGGCGTGCCGCCGTGCGCCGGCCTGCCCCACCCACCAAGCCACGCGGGCATTGTTGGACCATGCATGTCCGACCTCGCATTTTCGTCTCCTCGAAGCTACCGGTACCACCAAGACGGGACACTTCGCAACCAGCGCAACGTGAAAAGCAATGACATACGGTACACGCGGCCAACGCCATTGACAGCAGCTACGCCGGGAACCGGGCAACCGGCCCAGTCCCCAAGTCCCAACTTCCATAGCCATAATATAGATGAGAAAAATAGGTCGCCAGCGCAAAAACGCAATCAATCGATGTGCTTCCGGGCCCCTCGCCGCGCCGCGGCCTGCAGCTGCAGCTGATGCGGCCCGGCAAATGAAGCAACAAACCCAAACCCAAACCAACTCAAATCGCAGTCTCATCCGCGCACCGCATGCAAAAAAGAACATCTACACAGAACAGGGGCAAGCGCAAGCAGCACTCCGGCTGCTGCTGCAGCCGTTGCAGTTGCTGCAGCTATGACACCAAAGCGGCCGCCGACGCGGTCATAGCAGGCCCAGGATCAGGCGGACCTCCCGCGTCGAACGAGCCAGGGCAGTACGGCACTCAGGCAACACGCGTAATAATCTCGGGATATGGGTTCGGGAAAATCCCGGGGGTTGGGTTTTTTTTCGGGCGTAGGTGTTAATACGGTACCGACCGCCCGTCACTGTTTTTGAATTCTACTCAAGTTGGGGGGTTGGCGGGAATGTTGGGTCCGGGCAACCGCAAGGGCGCGGTCAGGGGGCAGGCCGCGTCGCCAAGGCCCTTGATCTCCCAGCCGTGTTCATTCCGTAAAGACGTTTCCTCTCAGAGCTTCTCCTCAGGTTTGCCTCCTTAGGCAACCGCCTCCTTAGGCGCTCCTCAAGACAGGAGACCTCCTCAATTTCGTCATCTCTCCTCTCCACCCCTGGCCGTAACGCGGCGCGCAGTCTGCGACCTCTCAAGATGCGACCCTCAGCAGCATCCTGCCCGGCGGCACCCGCGGCGGCGCGGCGCAGGCAGGTTGCAGGTAGGCAGGCAGGTTGCAGGCAGGCAGGCAGACAGGCAGGCAGGTTGCAGACCGACCCGCGGGTCGCTCCGCACTCTATCAAGCCGCGCACCGGAGGCGCACGCGAAGCGCCCTAAATGAGCGGCATGCCGCCGTGGCCGCCGCCGCCGCCGCGCGGGCGGAGGTACAGCTCCCAGGCCAGAACGATGCTGACCGCCGCGATCATGCTGATGGCCACCAGCAGCGAAAAGGTGCCGACGGAAATCGACTCCTCAGCCACCCCCTCCACGAGCGCCTGCTTCACCTTCTGGATACACTCCAGAGTCTGCGATGATGAGGCAGCGCGCGGGCCAGTGTGTACGTTGGGGGTGTCGTTGCTGGGGGGTCAGGGCGTGATATGCTCCTTTATATCACGATGAGACACTGCGGACGTTGTTGGGAGGGTCATCGACAGCACACCGTGAGAATCCAGGCAACGCCCGTTTCGCAGAGAAATGAAAAGCCCTCAAGACGCAATGTTCCTAGGAAAGCTAGTGGGTTCCTGCCGAGTACGGCATGGTACGGCTGCGGACACGGTAACGCCAGCAGTTCTAGCGCGACAAACCCCGATGGGCCAGGCGGCAGGGTTTGCATACGGGTGTTCACTGTTTAGAGGGCCTCAGTCGTCCTTGCCAAGAATGGGCTGGAGGTCACGCAACGCGCTTGCTGGCGCGGCAATTGCCAGGGAAACGCTCCCCCCACTTAGCACGCTCACCTGCATGGCGGGAGTGGTGTTGTGACCCCACACGTCCTGCAGATGGTATCGCTGCTCCAGCTCCTGCAGGAAGCCAGGCCCGGCAGGTCGGAGCCAACAGAAGACCGTTCACCGTAAATACCCTCGCGGCGAATATTCCATTGCCTCTTTGGCATGTTTTCGTCTCGTCGTCTCGACACCGATAAGCCTACCCTGAAAGAAGCTCCGCCAAGCTCAGAGGATTCCAACTGCAAACTTCGCCTTCTGTCCGACAGGTCCGTCACCCATTGCTGCATCTCTTCCATCGAAGGCTGCAACAATGCGGCCGGTGCATTATACGCTGAAGCGGAACGAAAAAACAGTTAAGAGTCAGGCCGGGTACCGTAATGGCCCAGGTGCCGAAGCCGGTTCCGTCAAACGTACCTTTCTGCCGCAGAACGTTATACTCCAGCGCCTCCATGTTTTTTAAAAAGTTTTGCTGCAAAGGCAGGCCTCCACGGAATCGTAAGGAAAAGGCAGGCCTCCAAAGGAAGGGTTGAGGGACAGGCAGAGCGCTAAACGCGCGGCTGCGACTTTGTGGTTCCTTTGTTTATCTGTATGCTGTCACAGCCGGGTATGCAGAGGCAGCCGAAACGCTCAGCCTGCGTGCGAATTATGCTAAATTGCGAACCATGGACAAGGCACAAGGGCTACTGAACCATTCGCAGACTTTGCCAACCTAGCTATCATCACGTTATGAGTGCTGCAGAGTTTGTTGACAAGCGTGCATTGCTGTGACTCTTTTTTTTGTATTGTATTACAAGCTCGAGAGCTCATAAGGCCCAGACGAGCCAGGAGGCTCATGGACCGCGAGAATAGGCAGGTCAAAAAGGAGCTAAGAACTATGTCGCCAAGCAGAAACTAAAGCAGGATCACAAACGAAAACAGGTAAAATGAACAAACATTCAAACTAGCATAGAAGACCGCCGTACCCAGATGTTGTGAACTAATTCAGCTAAGCCGCGTTGATTGTCCGCGCCCGTAACAGCAAGCATAGGCGGTGAAATGTAGTCGCCTAAAATGACACCTAGGGTGCTAAAACCCTGACGTATATCGTCGTACGCCGAACACTCCATCAGCACATGATATTCGTCTTCAGTACCACTATCACAGACCCTACAAGTACGCTCAGACCTCTGCCGTCCAGCAGGTCGATTATTCTCAATAGGCCAGGCTCCTAGACGAAAACGCAAAAGAGAAGCATAGGGTTTGGGGGGGATATACCCAGCCGTATGTTTCGGCATCCCCATCCAGTGCGTGTGCCGACACATCTTCACACCGGGCTTGTGGTTATCAGAAACGAACTCACGCGGGGGCGTGAGAAGCCTGCTGTTAAGCCAGTCTTCATCAAACCTCTGCTCCAACGTCCAAATCAAATTCCCAATATTAAGCGAACGCGACGCAACAAAGTCGACTTGGCCCTCCAAATCAAGACCCGGCGGGGGCTCCGGCCAGTGGTCCTGTCCCAAACACCTGAGTCCTCGTAAAACCAAGGCTCCCCACCCATGACCTGACAAGTCTGATTGAAGGGCAAGCCGAATTTCCTCACGAAACACTCTATGGAATACCGAACCCTTCGCATCAACCAGCTTGTTCCAGAAACGGTAGATGAGAGAAGTCCAGTGAACATGCAACGGGCGCTGCCCGAATTCCCTGAACAGGATTTTGTTGTCCGGAATCTTGCGCAGACCCGCGA